TCAATATGGTAATAATACTAGATTTTACTTTTAAAACAAATAAACATAAGCTTTTTACGAAGAGAAACATTCAGCTAGTATAAAAAAATATTAGCTATATAACGCAAGCATATCAAATTATAGGATCGGAGTCAATTTCTCTAAATTAAATGATATGTTCGTTATTCACTGAAACTGCTTTTTTGACCAATTCAATGTTGTCACCTCCCAATTATTTAAATGACCTCCGCGAATATCTTGTTTCTCTTGGCTTCATAACCTTTTAGGGTGTGTCCTTGGGTTCAGCCATATCTTTTCTTCGCCTACTGGACATTGCAATATGTCACGCAAATATTAGTTTTCAAAAGGTTAATCACAATTTCACAACATTGAAGAAGCAACGTATATTTTCATGCTTGTAATACTAGTAATATATTCTTGATATTTTTCCGAATCTTCTTGTTTTATTATTTTACTGAATTACCGCATGTTTTCAGGTTTAGACTTCAGCATAATTGTCTGCACTAAAGTAATTCCAAAGCTACAATTGTCTAGCTTGAAAAAGACGGTTTTTTTACTTGAAAGGTTCGTGGCCCAAGACAACGAACCTTTTATGGAGTTAAATGTTTATTTTATCATGTTTTCCTCATCATAATAATTTATCTTTATAGAATTGTTTTAAATTCACTTCTTATTTTGAATTTATAATCACACAAATATAATGTTTATTTGCTTTTTTTATAAAACAAGCTTTTCGGGCGAGTACGAGGTTTATTTTTTACATACATCTTTTTCAGTTGTAACGTCTTGTAAAAATCAGACATTCTTTTGATGTTCTTTTTCTGTATAAACAAGATATACTCACAAGATTTTTCTTAAATAATATTATATACATTACAGGATAAGATATATTATTTTATTCATATAAATTATCATAGGAAAGGTTCGTGACTAATGGTCACGAACCTTTCCTTGTTTGTAATCCGACATGGTATTGATAAACATCATAAAAATATAAATTCGCTTATTTCATTTGAAACCAATATCGTTTGTGATTCGGTAGGCAATAGAAAATTTTCTTGAAATTTAATAATCATGAAAAGTAACAAAATCACTTGCCAAAGGATTTTGATGGGAATTCTCGATCATGTTTATAACATGCGCTGCGAATAAAAAGCAACCATTATAGAAAGAGTTGAAACGTTTCAACCCAAATGACATCATAGTACATATGTTTGTTATCCGCAGCCGTTTACAAACAAGCATAGTGTAGGCGGCATCGAGTAAGATATATCACCGCACGAACCTTTCATCACGAACCTTTTCTCAGCATATTTCAGATTCAATAATGTTGTTTAAACAGCAACAAAATGTTTCATTTTTGGCATAAAATACTAATTTTTACGTAACTTAGAACATTTTATGTGCTGGGGGTACATATTGCAGTCATAAACCCTTTAAATCAGGTAACGAACCTTTCAATTTTAACCCAAACCACATCACAACGTTAAATTCTACATAAATAATAAAAAAAATGTGCACACTATGAACATGGTGATAATATGAAAGTATTATATTTTGATATTAATACAAAAAAGAACATCTAATGTTGTTTCAATGATAAAAACACTTCACTTGCAATATATGGTTAAAATGATAACGAACATTTCATACTATCCGGCGACAAACACTAATCCCTTACCATTTTTTATGAGTTATTGTTACTGAGATCTAATTTACAAATTTACTGGTTTGGGAGATAAACTCGGCCGAAAATCAGTGTTTTAAGGGCATATTTCATTTATTTGTTTACGTATTCTGATGAATCTTGCACCATAATAAACTTCAGCTCTTCGATTTTCCGGTATCACCATAAAAGTTATATTTAGAAACATAACGGGTAATTTTGAGAGGCCCTGGAAGAGGTACGTAAAAAGGATATTTTTAACGCGTGCGAGTAGATAATTCCGGCTCTTTGTTTTTCTTCTTAAATGAGTAATTTAAAACGTAAAATAACATGTTTAGACATTTTATTATTTCTTTGCTATTCATTTTGTCAAATAAAAAATATTTGTTACCAGAAATTGTTAAGCATTACTTAAGTTGGTATAATGAATATCTTTGATAACACGATATTTATATGCAACGTACTATGTAACATATAAATCATTTTTACGTAAAACACATGCATTATCATTAATTAACGTATAACGAAATATGTAGTTAAAGAATTAGATCTAATGATTCAAATTTATTTTTGCGTAGCGTAACAGAGTGAAGAAGAAATTAATTTAGTGGTATTCAACCTACACATAAAAGGAGCATTTAACATCAGTCTTTAAATCCATTCCACTTAAAGATTACAATTGAGTAATCAGCCTTTTTTCTGAGTTAGCAAGACAAAAGTGAGTCTGAATTTCATCTACAAAATGTATAAGTAAAAGTCGTAGTCGGTCAATATATAAAAGTACTCCTGTGCGGGCCTCAAAATGAGCATCTGCTGCACATGCGCACAACAATGGAATTCCCGTACTTTTTATAGGCATGTTTTGTAAACAAACAGGTAAAAGTCTGTGTTATTTTTTAAATATCTTACCAAACTTGACAAAATTTCCTGATATTGTCGAATTCCAGCGATAGTATGAGATGGTGAGCTTGATTAGATTAAAAATTCCGATAACTCGATTTAATTATAAAAAGCCGACTTTATCAACCAGCCGAAGTTATCTCCCCAACCAGTATAGTCGTGAATTGTTCCAAAATAATACGGCATCAAAGAAAATTAAAACAATACAATTAAAGCATCTAAATACACGTTAACTTTTTATAAATTGGACGGCGACAATCACGAACCTGTCATTTTCGTAACTTTAGGTGAATATTATTAAACAATTATTCATGATCAAATGGCGAGTTATTGTGTGTTATTTAAGGTAACATCTACCTTCTTAAACCAGCATAGATTTACAGGCAAATAACCTGCAATAATGAGGATAGACGGTGGCGACAAGTAAAAACTAAGGGTGTAAATTCTAACTGAGAACGGCCGTTAGGTGGTATCAAGTCTGGTCTATAGCCTTCACTGTTCTTCCGCCACACATATACTCTGCTATCATTCCCAATAACAATCTGACTTTCATCTGAAAATATTACCTTATCCCACTGTCCATTTACTATCCATTTTCGTTTATTTAAACACCAAGCAAGCCGTTTCTTTCTGTTATCACACTTGACGACCACACGTTTTCTAGCAACACGTCTATGAAATCCATGTTTCCCCAAAAGATACTGTACTGTACGTCTAGACACTTTTTTACTTCTATTATCATTAAAAGTCGATGTTATATCACTTAATGAGTCTCTTCTGTTGACCTTAACCAAACGCTCCAGTTGACGATAGTCCCTGTCAGTTACAAGTTTTGGTCTGCCACTTCTTGGTTTGTTTTCAGTAGAACCACTGCACAAAAATCTTTTAACAATATTTGACACAGTCATGTAAGGTAAATTCAACAATTTTGTAATGTTACACACTTTATGACCATTCTTGTATAAATCCACAATGACTTTTCTGACATCCTGTGAGATTTCAATTCCCTTCCTACCCATTTTAGATAAACACAGAAAAGAACATAAACACTCAAAAAAAATTCCAAAAGGTAAACAGTGTAGTATTCTAGAACTATGATGTCATCTATGACGTCATATTTAGCCTTAAAAATGATGTAATCAGTAAAGAGAGACTAGCAAAAGTAACCAATTTTCTAAGCATGCGTCAGTTACTTCCCTTTTCACCAATACTTTTTGCACCTGACTGTATTTCGTTGTTGTCTGGATGTAGTTGTTGCTGTTGTTTTGACACACAATTACCTCTATATTTTGCTAGTGGCGTCACATTTTTTTTTTATTTGAGCAAATGCACCTTTCATTGGTTCTTGTGAAGAAGCCTACTGAATATATTACAAATTATCAGACCAACTCAGTCTTTCGAATAATAATTTTTTCTCCGTGATACTTATATACATTATCAGAACTTCCTAACATGACATAATCAAATTTAACTTTTCAACTTATCTGCTCGCCATTACTTGAAGATATTCCTATCTTTGAACTGTTGTCTTTATATACCTTATAATCTAATTAACCACAGACACTTGGGGTGTGGAGCTCAAATTGCCTTAAAATCCAAAATAAAATGTATATTTGTCAGTCCCAGCACATGTATGATCAGAGGTGCACATGTAGTGCGCATTGATTTTATAATATTTATATATTATATTTGTATGGTTTACTAGCACACACATTAAACAAGATCCGATCGAAGGATGGTTAATATATTCTATTATATGTGTTGAAATCAAGTAAAAAAACTAAACAACTCATCATACAAAACCCAGAAAACCCTTTAAAATTTAACATATCTTGCTATTTTTGGTAAAACAAATTTGCTCCCCCCCCCACACATAAACTGCACTTTGTGTAGCTCAATTGTATCAAACGTTGTACATATTGTAGTTTAAACATTAACCCTATAATTTTTCTACCATTTTTTATACATGTATATGTATTTGTTAATTCTAGTGTCTTGAAGTTTGAAATCGTGTTTTCCTTTATTTGTTTTGAATTGATATACAGTATTGGATGAAACGATTTAGGACCAACTACAAATTAATCTCGATTTCATTGATTTTTTTTCCCAACATCTTAAATATAGAGTTTAGAGTTTATTTCATTTATTCCATAAAGATTATTTTCGCCCTTTGTCTTCACGTGACATTAAGCTCATTCAAGAGTTTATAGTGAGTGAACAGGTGAAATTATCGGGGGAGGGGGGCACTGCAAGTTCAAGAGTTAGTGGTGTTCACCCATTTTATTTTGGACGGATGGATGGATTTTAATCTATTAATCAACGCTACCAGAGATACGACAAAAAATTATTCCAAACAGAAATGGATACTTGTCAAAAATGAAATCGAATTTCAGAAAATTGTTTGATCTGAAAATCACAGAGTTTCGAATTTGAGCGTGACGACAACGACAAAATTCCTCCGATATACAAAGAGGGCGCTGTTATTCAAGATGGAGGTATTTGTCAAATGTCAGACTATGTTGACTAATCGATAAAGAAAGTGCATCATTTAATTCTTCTCTGTATTGAAAGTTGACGAGTAACTGTAAGTAATTTCCCTCTTTGAAAGAGTTTTATGTTAAAATGCTTTTCCCTTTTTATGTTTTGTTTTGAGACGGAAAAATTTTTGTCAAATTTTTAAATTTTTTTTTAAATCAAATCTGACAAATTATCATCTTTATCATAATTTCCAAAATTTTGGGAAAAGTAAAGAAAAAATTTTTTTCTGTGGGTTTTATTCGCTAAAAAATGATTTAATTTTCCAAAGACAATTGACCCCTTTTTTGGTGTCACAAAACCCGGGGATTAACCTTTCCCTTTTTTTGAATTAAAAGGGTATTGTGGAAAAATTGGGCCCTAGTGTTAAAAACCAAACAAAAAGGAAAATTATGAAAAATTTCATTTTAAGGGGGCCCTAGTTACCCCAATTAAAAATGATTAATTCGGCGTGAACGGTTTGACCCATTTTACAATTTTATTTTTTTGATTGTCAAACCATTTAAAGACTTATCTCTTTGACAAGTCTAATTGGTTGGACTAGCCCTAGCCCAACAAATTGTCACAAATTACGGACAGGGCAGACCGTACCAGGGTGGACTGTATGTTGGGACAGACGGACCATATTTTCTGACAGGGTGGACAGTGACTCGAGAATATGGTCCGCCCCGTCCAAACATACGGTCAACCTGGTACGGTCCGCCCTGTCCTACGACCATTGTCACCAGGGCTTAGGACTTGAAAATATCGGATGTTGTAATTGGGTTAGTGATTATTGCTATGTTTGAATGCCCTTGGCATCAAGCAATCAGAAGGCCTGGGTTTAAATATTTGTCAGTCAGTGTGCAGCAGTCAGAGAATTTATCAGGTCTACAAAAGTGGCAACAAGTTTAAGATGCATAATGACAAGGCGCACTCAAAAGTGTTGTTCTTAAAATTTGAAACGTTTGAATCTAAGACTGTGTAAAATTACTTTATGTCATTTGCATGAAGTTTTATGTTAAGGACATTAAATTATACATTGTATTACAAGAGTCAAGAGATATTATTTTTTCACTATTTTAATCATTTGTTCTTTACATACATTTGTAACCTGAAATATTTTATTTTTAAAGAATAATCATTTGTTCCTATCATTTAAATGATCTAGATAGAACTGGTTCTTACAAATGATATTTATTAATTGAACATTATTAAAACCATATTGTTACAGCCTCAGATAAGTAGGAGAAGGAAGGGTAAATCTTCCTGTCAATAATAAGATCTCAATCTATGTCAGTGTTACATATTATCAGAACTTCATTCATATCATGGTTAACCGTTAGAGACATTTGGCCCCGCCAGATACATAAAAAAATAAAGGAAGTGATTTCTGATACAGCATAAACATTTGACAGGAATCATGACCTAAAAGATAACACACTACGATATAAATAGGCCCTGTTTTGACATATTTTATTGATCTAATCATCTTGACTTTCATATAAAATGTAGGAAAACCCATATATCTTCTCAAATAAAACTACTAGGCTCTAAACTAAGATATTTGCCCCTGTGTCAATAAATGTCACACTAAGACTTTATCTGGTAATAGATCACAGGTGAGCTATATAAGGTCTTGTTCTTTCTTTTTTGTACTGAAACTGGCTTGTAAAATTAAATTTTTAAAATTCTATTTCAGGAGAGGATGGCTTTTGGTGGTAGCTTATATGGTATGTAGTTAACTTTTACACTGCTGACTTTGTATAATGAATTCATTTGTCATTAAAAATAATATTGATAAAGCCACACTGATGTGAAAAATGGCTGCCGCTTTGATCAATACTGGTTGTAAAATTTATTTATTGGTTATATTAAAGATCTAACACAATTTTTTTTTATGGTTTTAAATCATAAATATGATGCTCAATTTAAGATTTATCAATGTTGTAGGTTCCAAAAAGCATTATTTATAAAGATATTACCAAATTTAACATTTCATGTAAATAAAGGGAGGTAATAAAAACTTTATTTTCTATAAAGTTTATGTCAAATTTCACAATAAGAAATGAATGCATATATTTTAATGATTATATATAATATGCACAAATATTTGCAGTACATATTTTACATATTCTTTGATGTTTGCATTTTTTTTATTTGCATAATTATGTACATATATATATAATTTCACTTAATGTGGTTTACCACTTTGATCACAACATACAGGATCGTTAAGCTTTTTTTACTGGTTAACCGTCACTCCATCTCAAACTATAGCCTAATGCATGTATGTTAAATGAATATAAATCTGACTTATTAAATGACAAATCTCTTGTAAACCCCTACAATTTGAGACTTGGGTTCAAGACTTGACCGGAACAGGCGATTGTTTCCTTGAGCAAGAAACTTGACACTCATTGTTTGGTACTGATTTGTTCCAGAATTGGATTCAGGTTTTTGTCTATAAGCTTAAAGCTTCCTACTCAATCATAATAAAAATATTCTGTTTTAATCTATTCTAATGGTAAGACTTGCTGTTTCATTGTAATTTGATTTATTATTTGGGATTGTTATTTTTTAAAGTATTTTGCTTTCACTGCACATCTATATTTCAGGGAGCTTCACCTCAAATTGCCTTGATGATGTCCCATTTAAGCTTGGTCCTAAGTTCAAGCCACCAACTAAGGTAAGTAGAGTTTTTGTACACCTCCAGAAGATAATGTTCAGAAAATCTACTGTTGTACTAATATTTTAAAATCTCTCTTTAAATACATATAAAAAGTAAAAGACATTGAAATATCACTTTATAATGTGCATATTTTGACATTTTTGCTTTGAAAACATGCAGTCTGTTCCACCATCAAGATATACCTTCTTAAAGCCTACTAGGGCTGCCCTGGAAGTTCACAGAATTATGTAGACACATTTTAATTTGTGTAAGTTTTGGACTTGTTGTAACATTTTGGATTACATTTATTATGATTTAATAAATTTGATAAAAATTGTAACAAATGCATCACTTGTTAAAAAAAACTCATCTCCATGGTAATGCAGTTACAAACACCTAGAGCAGGCAATAAATAAGCATTTGTCTGTAATTTGTAGCCTTTGAATTAGAGCTCAATTAGCAGTATAAAGTGCAGGTAGTCCTGGCTCTGGTGGCAAAGGCTGATCATATCTTGTTCTTGCAGGTCAGAGTTTGATAAATGACCAATTAACCCTTTCCCCCATGAGCATATTGTGAAAAATGGCCGTTTTCACTGAAAAGCCTCCTGTTACAAGTTCAAACTGCTATGAAACTATGAAAAATGCTTCAATACTAATCAAACTTGGCACAAATGTTGACTGGACCATTGTCTTTGTAACTTCTGGCAACCCCCTGATGTATCTTTTGGATGGGGGGCGGCGCCGAAAAAGTGCTCAATTTTTTAAGCAACATTTCTCAAACGAAAACTTATGTTTGGGGCCCAAATAGGACATTTTTTCACTATTTGAGGCCTAAAAAAAGGGGGGGGGGGTCGAAAGTGCGTTGTTTCGCGTATATATGTGGTAAAGGGTTAAAGCATAGATAAAATGCAAGGAATTTACTCCAAACTTACATTATTAAAAGATATGAATTGGAATGGATTGTTTCTAATTATTTTCCTTCAAACATTGTAGGTAGCGTTGCCATCAGATTTTAATATATCTTCACAGTCCAGTGCTTTGAAGGAAGAGGTATGTATCTTATATGGCATTGTTATGCTTAATAGTTTATTCTGTTGTATGTTCTTGGAGATTAAACAGAAGGTGAAACAAAAGTTTTTAAAATTCATTGATTTTAAATCATTTGAATAGGATCTTGACCCTCAAATTGACTAGATACTATTGCATAATGGCAAAGTTTGATGGTATAGAAACAAAATTAATCTACTTCTGTTCCTACTACTTAGTGTTATATTAATGTGGTGGCTAAGCATTTTTTTCACAAATGCAGTTTTGTTCTCTTTTTTTTCAATTTTTTATAAAATAGATACAGTTGACTCCGGTTATAGCAAACTCAATGGGACATAAAAGTATCGTTCGTTATATCCGAAGTTCGCTAAAAGCGAAGTAGCAACAACTTGCTGACTTGTTTGGATAGGGAAATTTGCCTTGAAAAAGCCATACTTTTTACTTGTTACCGGCGTAAAGGTATTTTACTGCAGCGGTTATTAAATGGTTATTTAATGCGAGACATTTTATTAAACAATATATTATGTACATGGTACACGTATTTATTCATGTTGTACTTGTCTATAAAGTATTCTTTTGCTATTTGTTTATTATCGTTTGGTTAATATTGCAAACAAAAACAATCAATTATTTTGTAATTATTGGGTATTAACAGCAATCAACTAAGGGTGCGAAATACAAATCTTCAGTAACAAGTAGGAAATAATGTTGTGAGAACCTTTTATCAAAATCTTTATTCCCTGAAGCCATAACTAACCTGTGCAATCATTCGATTGTATAATTATCGGATAGCGTTATTAATGTACTGATCCTAATCGAGCGCATCCCGATATTTCAATTATAACAGTTTGTTCCGTCATTTGGGGCTTGAAAAATTGTTTGTTATAGCTGAAAATTCGTTATAAGCGAGTACGTATTAAGCGATGTGATTTAATATAAAATAAAGAAGGAATAGGCCGGGGATGTCAGATTTAGTTCGCTAATAACAATAATTCGTTATAAGCGAGTTCGTTATAAGTGGAGTCGACTGTAAATACATTTTCATTTTTTTAAGAATTTATTTTTATTTGTAGTTTATGCCTATGATAAAATCATGTTGATTCTATAATTGTAGTGTGAGAGTTACTTTAAACCTCCTGTTTAAAAGATATTTTTAAAGAAATTGATTAAAAAAAAAAAAAATTTTTTTCAATTATATACAAAGTTAATGTAATGAACAAGTCCTGGATAAAAGTTGTTATTGTTTGCATCTTCAGCATTACTTATTATTAAACATGGAAATAAACACATTTTTATGAAAGATTTTCTGGACTATCCATTGTCATGTTTCAGTATACATTTGAAGTAGAGGAAGCTGTGTTAAAATGGTCAGCAGAGAGAGAGAAACAGTTGGCAGAACAGCGTCGACTAGAACAAGAAATAGCCCAGTCAGCTAGACAAGCTTCTAGCAGTGATGATGATTCTGATCAGACTGACAAGGTGCATGCCAATGAAGGTCTCTATAGCAACAAACAATCTGGTACTGAACCTTTATATGAAAACCCAGGTATTTTGTTACCACAGCCTGCACCACGGCCAAAAGTCAGACCGAAACCTAAAGATGAATATGTTAATGTTTTAGTTCCAAATCCACTGATTGCAAACATCTCAAATGATATTTTAAAACCTACACTTAGTAGTAGTCCTAGTGAAAATAATTCAGATCTAAAACCAGCAACAAATAACATAGATTTAACCTGGTTTGAGAAAGAGGATGATCCGTTTGATAATTTAGAACTACAAACTATCAATGACATGGAGGAGTTAGCAAGCGTTCTTAAAGAAACAACAAAAGTTTCACCTGAACCAGTTGAAGTTGTCGAAGTTGATGGTGATGTAACCGGCAATGGTATAGATAACCATGATGTTGAAGAAGGTTTAAACAATTATGAAAATGTGGAATTAAAACTGGTTGATTTAAAAGTTGCGAACAATGAAGTTGTTTATGATAACATTAATGGGGCTGGGTTTTCAATGACAAATTTACCCCCTGTTCCCCCAAGGCGGGACCTTGTGGGGCGATCTCCACCTCTACCCCCAATTAGTCACATTCGTAGCGACCCAACAGTTTCTGAAAGTGTTTACCAGAATATGAATCAGAAAAATGGAGAGAGTCAAAACTTTGATAGTGAAAATTCTGATACCTCATCATTCCAAAGTGAGGAAAGTGTAACAAAAGTCATATCAAAACGTAGAGTAGCCCTACCAAAGCCTCCGCGAACATTCACGTACAGTAGACATAATCTGGATGATAGTGAGACTGACTCTAATGTGGAACCAAACTATGAGAACACTGAGATAACTCAACCTAGTGTGTCTATTGATAGTGCTGGAGCAAGTATGAATGTGCAATTTACAAACAGTCCTCAATCACAAGACTTGCAGTGCAAGCCAAATTCAAGTGAAGGTCTGAACTTTGTTAACCATCATTTTGGAGTGAAAGAGACTAATGGATGTTTCAGTGGAGAGACAGCCCCTCTACCTGCTCCTAGAAAACCTCCTCCACCTCCAAGACCAACATCACAGGTACTGATTACAATTGAGTATTTTGTTGAAACTTTTTTAACTTTTATCTGTTTGAAATTGCATTACAGACTGTTCCAAGTTAGGTAGATCAGTTGAAAGATATGAGAAAAGTAATTGCTCTTTTTTGTGTAAGATTATTTGCTTTTTTGTGTAACAAGTTTTGTTGTCATGTAAGGTAGTTACCGGTACACAATTTTGTTTGAAAAGCTGACATTTAGAATATGCTTATTAAAAATCAGAAATTTGGGTCTGTTAAGAACTTAAGATATAATGGCAGAAAAGGAAGGGAAGGGAACTCAAAAATTATTACCGTAATGTAAGTTGTAAGAACTTGTTTCACAATCGGGCTTAAATAAATATGTTTAAACGAAAGTAGTACTAGTTTTTTCTCAGGAAGACTGGGGAATTAACTTTTGTTATTTCTTTAACTTTATTAAATATAACTTTGTTTTATTAATTTATTTAGCCATGGAACCGATACAGTCCATTACCACCAACCCCTAGATCAACGTCAGATCAACCTAACAGTGTATCCATGCCAACTAGAACTAGTCCAGATACCTATAGCAATTTATCCACTGAGGCTCAGGCTTGCATTGATAAACTTGCTGCAATGGGCTTTGAAAGAGATAGACTTGCCAGAGCTATAGAGAAAATAGGGCATGATGAAAAAGAAGTAAGTAAACTTAGTTTCATGTTTAACTCATATTTATAAGATATTGAAGATCTTTTTCTGTTTCCTTGTTTCTTGAAAATGTATTTTATAATTTGGGAAATCTGGGGGCAAGAAGTGGGGGACACCAAAAAATATATGTATTTTATAGACATCTTAAGAGTTAAGAGAAAACTATGAAATGATTCTTTATATAGTAGTTTGAAATTGATCTTATAAATTAAGTTAACTAGGATATTACTCCTGTCTAGAAATGTATCCTTGGACTTTTGTCAAGTCATTTTATTTTCCCCAAATTCAAACAAATGATAAAAGTCGGCGAACGTCGCTTGTACAGGTAGAAGGTTAAACTTTATACCATTTCCAAAAAGTGGAAGTAGACACCTATAAACTTTAATGTAATCTCTGTTTATAAAATTATACATGCATGAAATATATTACATTTAAGGTGGTGGAATATTTATGCCTGGTTGATCAGCTTATAGAAAAAGGATACGACACGTTACTGGCAGAAAATGCACTACTTTTGTTCAAAAACAGTATGAAACAGGTGAGTTTACTAGTACATTCATGTATACAACTGTAAGTTTTGAATCCATACACCAGTGGAACTAGACAAAAAGTTTTAAGTTTTGGAATTTTCGAGAAGTGAGGAATTCTCTGAGCGATTATAAATGTGTATCAGTTGTTTTATGGCAGTGCAATATTATATGAGCCGCACCATGACAAAACCAACATAATGGGTTTGCGACCAGCATGGATCCAGATCAGCCTGTGCATCCACGTAGTCTGATCAGGATCCATGCTGTTTGCTATCAGTTTCTCTACTTGTTATAGGGTTTATAAGCGAACAGCATGGATCCTGATCAGACTGTGCGGATGCGCAGTCTGGTCTGGATCCATGCTGGTCGCAAACCCATTATGTTGGTTTTGCCATGGCGCGGCTCATATTTAGTCATGATGTTTTCCTCATAGGTTAATTTAATCTTTTACTTAAAAGTTAGTATCTCCAAAACAACAGAAGGAATAAGTTTAAGTTCACACATTTATTCTCTGTGATTGCACATGTCCCATAACTCTTGAGTTACCTTTTTACAGAGTTATGCCTGTCGAGCACTAATATATGTCGGGCGTGCTGTTCATCATACAGCTTTTGTTCAACAATTTACTTCTTAATTTCTCAACTTTCAAACTTTAATCAAAGCCTTGTTATGCCTGACAGGTTGTGATTCTAATAGGATTCAAGGTATATTGCCAATGCTTTTTGGGAAAAACTAACATTTTGATATTTCAAGTATGATTATCATTCACACCCTTTTCTTTTCCTAAATTGTAAAAGTAAATTAAAATGTTCATTTTTCAAAAATTATGTAAAGGGGCTTTTGGCCCTAAAGTTAAGTTACCCAGAGTTTTCAAACTTCAAAGGAAAATTCCTCTTATTGACAGTGACTAGCAGATCATATTCATTTTTGTTTTCATCTGGAAAGTATATAGTTAAAGGTACCTTATTTATTTCTTTAAATTATTCTATGGCTTATACATAATCTCTGTGAAAACATAAATTTTTATCATATTTAATCATAGTTTTTAGTTAATTAGTCTCACCGTATTTCTAGAAATGGTCATTCTAACATGTCTTGTTTTGTTTCTTATAGGCATCTGATTACCTGGAAGTTTTCACACAGATGTTGGAGCTTGGCTTTAATGACGACAAGATCAAAGAAGCATTAGTAAACACAAACAACGATAGAGAAAAGGCCCTTGATATTCTGACAGCAAGTTCCTAGAAAACTAACGTGTTTGAGTTAAAACAGTGTGTTTATTTTAAATTGTGTTCAAATTACTACTCATTGAAATGCTTTCCACAAAAATCAAATTCATGGATAATTGAAATTTTAGTGTTTCAAGGTATATTGTTGAATTAGAAAATGTTGCATGGAAGAATTGAAATTACTTTTTTTTCTTCTTTTTCTTAGGACTGATGTATTTAAAATTTTATGGCATATGCAATATCAAAGTTTGAAGGTCTTTTTTGGTGAATTACAATATAATGTACTAGTCTTGGTCGCCATGGATTTGTTCATTACAGTTATATCTTATTTTTAAGTTTTTTATTCTTTAAAGAAAATAGGAAAACTAATTATTAAATTAAGCCAAATTTTTAATGATAATATATGTTGAACAAATTTCTTTGTTTGAATTTTATGTTGAAACATTGGTGAGATTTCTAAATATTTATTAATCAGTCTGATTTCTTTAATCATTAGCCTACTTGTGGCTTATGACCAGTGCAGAACCAGCCAGGTGTCACATCTGTTTCATTTAATCAGTGTCTGTACAGTTCGCTTTCTGAGTCAGTGCATATTTAGAAGAAAGAAAAAAATCAATAAAAAAATTATGAATGGCTTTGTCCAGACTATAAAATTTACAAGTCCATTTGATTTTTTTGGAGTGGTTAATGGTTAAAAAATAATGATGATATTAGTGAACTATATCCAGTCCAAAGGGATATGTCTTATTCTAAGTGCGGTTCAATATAAGAGACATTGTTATCTTTCTTAAAGGAACTCCACTGAGGTCCAAAAGTCTAAAACCATAAAACTATTAGAATTTTGTACATGGATCAGCTTGGGCATTAAACAACAGAAAGATGTACAAAAGATAATTAAGAAATACTAAAAAATAATTGAAAATTATATTTTTGCGCTATTCTTAGTCCGATTTGCAATGCTTTTCAATCTTTGGTCATTTTTCATGACAAGAATAATTATTCCTGTAAAATAAGTTGAGCAAATGATCTGAAGTTTACCACAAAATTATTGGTCTAGACTTACATCAGATGGTACATTTATCTCGAAAAAATATTTCCAGTCTCATTATGTCAAAAAACCTTAGTGGAGTCCCTTTAATTCAACATCTGATGTCATAATTGTTTGTTATATAATGGACATGTTTAATTTTTTTTCTTAAAGTATTGGTTTTTATGTAAAAAAAAAAAATTACTGTGATTTCCATAAAAGTCTCATAATTATAATAGTAAAAGGAGATACATGTAATTCTCTTCCATCTAATATCAAATATCCAATATGTACTAGATATCTTTTTGTTTCTATACCTTATAGTTTTTAAATTATTTTTTTACAAAATACATACATTACAGTATTTTTGTTATACTAAACCTCAATGAGTTTGTATTAATTCAGCTAACAGTCTTACTTGACATATCAAGTATTTATTTGAAAGTAGCAAGTCGACATTTCTCTGCTTCTCGTCATTCCACCACTAATGTTATCTTTGTCAAGAATGATGCATGATAATTATGCAAAATTTTCATTTTCATTAATCGATGCAGTAGCATATGATAACTGTTTCTGAATTTTTTTAAATAACCGAATTGATTATTATTTGTTGTTTTGTTTTTTTATTATAACTTGTTGTTTTTATGACAGTATCCTGTACCTAATCAGTGTATAATCTTTTAAGAGTTTTGTTTCTACAAAAGAGTTAAATTATATTAATATTAATTGTTCACATTTTAAAAATCTAATTTGTTTGTTGTATTATTACATAATGTACTATAAATGCTAATGGAGTCCAAGTCCCCAGTGAAACCCAGGCTTTTTCTACTGTAACTAACATTTCAAATTGATAATACAGGGGCACCTGGAGTCTTCCTCCACCAATAAAAGCTGGGAAAAAAACGACGAAAAAATCTTGGCAAGACACTCTAGGATGACCCGACTTGAGTGTACGGTCGCCCATATGGGCTTTCCGGCGGCGACCTTAAATAAACGCATTAAAAAAAGAAAAGCAACAGCATTCTAGACGACTTAACTAAAGAAATGATTCTCTAACACAGTTGTCAGATTTTGAAATTATCGTTAATTTAAGAAATAGTGCATTGATACATAACACTGCACATCCATGCTGTTTTAGCCAATTTGGTGGCATAAATATAACATTTTAATATAAAAAAAAAGTTTTTGACATATTTAACAGTATTTAAGATATTTTATTATTATCTGTCAAAGGGCTAATGTATTTTAGTACACTGATATTTGATATGATAATTGTTAAAGATGATTCTATATCTCTCAATGGATTATTGTATTATAACTGTGTTATGTTGATGATTTTTTCATTACCTTACTTCAAGACAATGGAATGTAATCGTTCTTTTTGTTCATATTAATTTCTTGTTAATGTGAATCTTTAATTTCGAAGTAAGACATGTTAATGAATTGTGTTAATAATCTTTGGGTACAAGTAAATATAGACAAGTATTGTGAGATTGTAAGAAATTATAGAATATTTGTCATCTCTGACAGACAAGACTTTGTGAACTTCTACATATTTCTCCGAATTGTTCACAGTTTACTATGAACTTCTCTAGATATTTCTCCGAATTGTTCACAGTTTACTATGAACTTCTAGATATTTCTCCGTATTGTTCACAGTTTACTATTAAGGGGACTTCAGTGAGTTTTTGTTTTTAACATTACAGGACTAGAAATAATTTTTCACTATTTATGTTCCATTGCATGAAGGTCAAGACCAATAACTTGTATGCAAAATTTCAGATCATTCCCTCACTCTGTTTTTGAAAATGACCCTTTGCAACAATTTTCACTCAAATCTGGTGAAGAATAGAAAAAAAAATGATATGTTTTTCTATTAATTTCTAAGTAAATTTCTCAATTACTTTTTGCCTATCTTTCTATTTTAAGTGTACCAGCTGATGTAGGTAAGAAATTCAAATGTTAGGCTTTTGGACCTCAGTGGAGTTCCTTTAAAAACCTGCTTTGAGTTTTATTACACTGTATGAAAACAGATCAAACAGTGAAGTTGTGTAATTAATTACTGGTGCTTATAGTGTAAATGTTAATACCTTTGTTTATTTGTATAATAGTATTTTTTTGTGTACAAATTACTTTGTCTTTCAGTTTACTGTTTGTGATTATATACACATAATGATCTTTCTTTCTTTTCAAAGACTGCTGTTATTTTTCGGTCAACAGACCTGCAAATTTGTGCACAATAAGCCTTTTCTCTGTTGGTAACATCGGGTAGAAAAATATTGATAAAAGAACAATGTAATAAATTTTGTTATATTGTGCATAAAACATGCAGCGTCTTTTGCAATGTAATTATTTATAGATTTCTAAAACTGTTTTTATGAATTCAGTTCAGGGTTTCTAAGCAAGTCATGTACACAAGGTTAGCTGGGAAATTGTTAGAGACAATTTTGTTCATAAATAACTTACCTTCTTTTGTATTTGGTCTTTTACTTATGCCCTTGTTTTCAAAAAGATTTTAAAGGGACTCCACTGATGATGACGGGATGTGAAATAATTTCTGGAGATTAATGTTGGATTTGATGAAGGTGTAGACCAATAACATGTATGCAAAATTAGAGATCAATCGCTCACTCTATTAAAAATTTGATAATAATAATTCTAATAGCAAAAAATGACAAAAAATTCAAAAACATTGGCTAAGAATATGATTTCAGTTTGTTTCTGAGAATATTTCTTAATTAATTATCTTTTGCATACAAGTATCTTTCTATTGTAAGTGCTCCAGTAAGAAACTCAAATGTTTTGGGGCTTTTGGACCTTGGTGGAGTTCCTTTAAGATAGTAGTTTAAGAAAGTCTGGATGGTAACAATAAGTGACCAGAACACAAATGTTAGTGCCATCTGCATATTAATTTATCATTACATGGTGCATTTTGGTGACCTATTGTAAATTCATAAGTAGTAAAGTCATTTTGTTTGTATATTCTTATGGTTTGCCATGAAGTGAATTTTAGCACATTTACACAAAGTGTAACCTATTTAACAGACTTGACTTGAACAAGATTACAGGATCAAATGTTACACTAACAAATTACTTGACTGCTATTTTTAGATGAAGGTTGGTGAAAAACTGGACATCTGGTGAACAAGATGGCCACAAGAGCTAAGAAAATTAGTTGTGACATAGTCAGAATAACTGCACAGAATATGATAAAACTTTATGGGCATTGTTGGGGAAAAGAAACAGACTTTACACAAGAATGGGTAGAAGCCAAGGGAATCGCTTTCTCTACAGCTAAATTAACCTAGCTGGGATGACAATACTCTCTTTATTAGAAGAAAATCCCATAATTTTTTACCTTAATCGTTGATATATGTTTAAAACATTTCCACCTTGAACTTCACCCAGAGGTTAGATGTGGTCACCAGCCTATGATACAAATTTGATGATATACAAGGAACATACATGTATATGCATGGTTATTCGATGTACATAACGTACTTCGCGCGATTGACGGTACTACTATTTGCAAGAACAGTATAGTTACACAACAAAATATAATAATAGATATTAAAATAATATATAGTTGTAATAGATTATAGTAATTGACAGCAGTTCAGCGCAGATATCTTTTACTAGTTATTTACAATTTTGAATGCATGGTTATTCAATGTGATTCGCGTTTTTGATGGAGCTAAATATACATATATGTAAATTTAGCTCCATGATAATACTAACCAGGTCGAAATCCTGTTTATTTGATAAAAAGTATCGAAATCACCAGATAATAAAACCATCTATGTTGATATTTCTGAAGTTGAGCACACAGTAGTAGTACCGTAAGTATGTATCATTTGAGACTGACGATGACCTTGTTGGACTAAAGTGAATATAGCCTACCGTATACACAGGTACATTTCTATATTTCAATCTCGTTTGGACGATGCTGTGACGGAAAAAAAGAAGGTATGGCGAAATTGGAATGATAGTTAAATGACCCACTGTTTAAAATGCATGTATTCGCGCCTAAAATGCGAGTCCGTCGGGCAATCTTGGTTTTCGCACAGTGCAGATAATTATCCGCGTTGGAGTCGCTATAGTTGCTACCGTGATCTATAAAAAACCTTGGGACAAGAAAATGAAAATTATTTTATAAATCCGTGTTTAAACGGACCGTCAGACTTGTTTTGTTTTGTTTTCCCAGCCTGAATACATACACTTTAGTTTTTCATCAGGGTATCTTTTAAACCATACCCTGCAACGAACCATAGAAAAGGCAAATTCAACGAAATCGGTGGTATCACTGTGGAGCTTGACTCAAGAAGCACGACCGTCTCACTGTTTCTTTTTATTTTTCGATTGTTTTGGAAGCTATAACACCCTCGAATTCGTTCCTGGAACCAACCAGTACTAAGCCAAGAATGTAAAACTTAGAACTTGCTAAAGGCTTGTCCCAGATGGGATTTGAACCCATGCGGGCAGCAATCTTTATATTACTAGTCTGGGCAACGCGTTAACCATTTGACACGTGGCCACTCAAGAAATGATTTCAATGGAATATACATGTATATAAAATGCTTAAAGCTTATTTTTAGCTCGACTATACGAAGTATATGGAGAGCTGTCCTACTCGCCCCGGCGTCGGCGTCGGCGTCCGCGTCCAGATTTTAGATTAAAGTTTTGGTGCAGTAAAATTTTTTTCACTATAACTTTGTCATTTCTTAAGGTATCAACTTCAAACTTCAAATATATGTTCCTTATCATCAACCACATCTTATGTGACAAGGTTCATAACTCTAGCACCAATATTTTCAGATTTATCTCCCCTTGAACTTAGAATTTTCCTTAAAAAATACTATTTTTTACTGTTACTTCTTTATTTCTTAAGGGATCAACCTCATACTTCAAATATATGTACCTTATCATCATCCCCATCTTATGTGACAAGGTTCATAACTCTAGGACCAATATTTTCAGATTTATCTCCCCTTGAACTTAGAATTTTCCTAAAAAAATGCTATTTCTTACTGTTTCTTCTTTATTTCTTTAGGGATCAACCTCATACTTCAAATATATTTACGTTATCATCATCCCCATCTTATGTGACAAGGTTCATAACTCTAGCACCAATATTTTCAGATTTATCTCCCTTTGAACTTAGAATTTTCCATAAAAAATATTATTTTTTTTACTGTTACTTATTTATTTCTAAAGGGATCAACTTCATACTTCAAATATATTTACGTTATCATCATCCACATCTTATGTGACAAGGTTCATAACTCTAGCACCAATATTGCAAGAATTATCTCCCCATAAACTTAGATTTTTTTACTAAAAAAATGTTATTTTTTATTATAACTTTTTTATTTTTAAAGGTATCTACCTCAAACTTCAAATACTTATTCCTAATCATCAAATACAGTTTATGTGACAATGTTCATAACTCTTGAAGCAATATTTACAGATTTATCTCTCTTTGAACTTAGGATTTTCTTTAAGAAATATAATAACTTCTTTACTTTTTAAGGTATCTACTTCAAACTTCAAATATATATTTCTTATCATTACACAAATGTTGTGTGACAAGGTCCATAACTCTAGCATGACTATTTCTAGAATTATTCCCCTTGATCTTGGAATTAATGTTAACAAATGTTATTTTTTTACTATAACTTTATACATAATTATACATAATTGATTTTTCTTCATAGTTTTGTCGTCCTTACTGCGTCCAGTATTTTATTAGTCGAGCTTCGCTGTCTCCTGTGACAGCTCTTGTTTAAAAGCTTTTAAATTTTGGTGTCATGTAACATTTACCAAAAATTTACTCACTTGCAATATAGCTGAACCACGGATTTATGTAATATAAATCCGTGGCTGAACCATCTTAGAAATTGCTTCTTAAAACTGCGTTTTGACAGTTTGTGCAGTTAGGCCTATAGAGATTCAAAAGGTCACAAAGTCAAAATACCACTTTGTTTACCTTTGTCACAATTCATTTCGCATTCAGCGTTTTCTTTCTGTAATATATAGATCTACTAAAGATATTTTTACATAGAATACCATGTACGTCCAAATAAGAACTGCGTATTGGATCAAATCAAAATTTGGACGCACATCCAGTCTTACCTAGATCTTCGTCGTATTGGTTGTATAGGCTCTCTAGCTGGGATGTACAACATCACCAGTGTTTACTATCACTATTTACTTTTATTAGTGGTTCATAAATATATATACATGTATATATACTGTATTACATTGAAATACGGTCTGTGAGTATGTGTGCGCGCGCGCGTTTTCTTGTGCATTTATAAGCGCCACCGCGGTTGCCCATATGGGTGAGTCCTACAGAAAAGTATTGGTAAATTTAGTTTAAGTTAAAAAAGATGCCCCAATTACAGAAAGCTTCCCCTGGTTCTGTAGCATGCCAAGTGTTTTTAAAGCACTCATACACGGGATCTCGATTTATAAATAAGGTCTCATCCGAAAGCCTCTTTAGTAATTTTAGTTCGCCAATCTGAGAGTTGAATCCACAATGTCGAGATAACCAATCACCAATGTACAATGATGTAGCTGACATCCTTTTAGAGAGGTATTTAGCTAACCCCATCACTATTTACTTTTATTAGTGGTTCATAAATATATATACATGTATATATACTGTATTACATAGACATTGAAAGTGAAACATACTACTTGTAGCTTCTTCTATTTGTGTATACGGTCTGGTATAATGGTCAGGTGAAAACAATCTTAATTTCGTTTCAATAAAAAAATGATCTTTTAACCACATTTTTGATTTAAATGCGCATTTGTTTATGGCCCTTTTCTGCTAGTTTATATATTTCCGTTTCCGTTTTTACTGTACTGTAGTCGTTAAAGTTTACTCATTTCCTTCAAGGCAGCGCAAAAAAGATTCGCAGCAAGCTTTTATCTATTGCTTTCAGAATGTCGTCTGAAACAGAGCAGCAGGACCCTAATGTTCCCCAAAATGAAGATGACGGGGTGGATAACAAATCACAAGGCACATTTAAAGTCCCAGAACAAAAGGTAAACGATCTTTTCATAAATGTGTACTGGTTGTCGGATGTAAAACAATATTTCGGATATGACATAATTTATCTTCTAAACCTTTATTTTATTTGAATGCTGTAGAATTAGGTTATGTATCAATCATTTTGTGTTTAAAAGGTTATCTTTATCCACTAAATATCCGCTAAAAATTACTTGTTTTTTTTGTAAATGACTTAGTCATTTGCATACATATGACAACTAAAGTGGGCCAAAACAGGATTTTCAACTGGATTTAGTGGCATAAAACTGGATTTTTTTATCGACTTGAATATTAACGTGTGTTTGGCACATTTGGTATGAAGAACCCATATTTTATTATTACCCTCAAAATGAGTGTGTTATGTGTTATAATAATCTGAATTGATAACGATTTGCCTCATTATGACTCGCCCACCTTCACTGATGATTTGCCTCAAATTTGTGCAATTCGCTCCACTTTGTTTTAAACAGTCATTTAAAATGTTCTTTATGTTATCAAAATTAAGAAATGATAAGATTAAATGTTTGTTACGGTATATTAGTGAAATAAAATGTTCTCGTTGATTGCAACTTGAAGAACAGAAATTGATCATTTTAACTGTAATGTTATCAATATTAAAACTGATAAAGATTCGCCCCTGCTCAGTGATGACTCGCCCCACTTCAGTTATCATCACAACACCATGTTCCTAAACAGTTAAGCGTTTTCCTTAAAAAAAAATAGATATACAAAAGTTGCATTGGCTAAAAAATATTGGCGGTAATTGCATCTTTTTTAGTTTTAGGATTTCCGTTAATACTTTATAATCATAAATTTCTAGTTTATGAAAATGACAAAATATGTATGATAGCATATATAGAATACTAGAAAATACTACTTGTCAAAAATGTATAGCAATATGTATGTTTTAAATTACGAATAAATAAAGTTAGTATCAAAATTCAAATTAGAAACATTATCTCGATATGCTACATTAACATGTTTTAGGCCTACAGAACTTACATATAGCCCATTATTCAAACATTTTAAAAGTTATCGACATAAAACTTGGAATTCTTGCTTATCAAGTCAAGATGAAGTTGTTCTGAAAGCAATATTTTTTTAGTAACCCGGTTTTAACTTTGAATTTTTAATAGATGAGCGTTAACTCAGCATGCAGTGCTCTTGTTTTACAGTTTGAAGTTTGTACATATTTCAGAGTCATGTAGATATTGAGAGAGAGCAGGAAGCAAAATTGAAAGCTAAATATGGAATGAGAAAACCAGGTGGGGGATCAGCTCTATTACAGAAGAGGCTCCAAAAAGGGGTATGTCTGTCTTCCTTTTATCATGATATTGTAATAAACATATATATTGTAATACTTTCTAAAGATGCTTTAGAAAAAGAAAAAACAAATACATGTACAAATAAAATCAGAAATGATGCTTTTCTTATACTGGTATTAAACCAAACCCGAAAGTAAAATCATAGTGAGAAAATATTGTAAATGTTTGTAGTTGTTGAAAATTTATATAATATGTAAATAATCTGTACAAAAGTTAGAGTTATAATCACCAAGATGCTACAATTCAACAGAAGTCTCACTTCTCGCTGCCAGGTGCCAACAATGTGCATGGCAGCAGTTGATTGATTTCAGTCACTTAATGGGGACAATTAATATCACCTACCAGTATTGTATATGTTGGTGGAGCAAATGACTTTGTTGCTTTAAAATTTGAAAATTGCCTTTATTGAAGCAACATAACTGTATCAACATTTTAGTGAAGTATAAGTGTGTTTGTCACATACTTGTGCCACTTTTGCAACTCCTTATTATGTCTTCCAAAATTTTTGGGAGACATATTGTTTTTGCCTTCCCCGTCTGTCCGGGCTATTTAAGAGAAGTAGGGGCCATCTAATTGTAAACAGAACAAAAGAGAACAATAGAGTTCATTCCGTAACAATAGAATAAGCGGCCATGGCCCTCTATTAAACAAAAGAAAATAACAAAAGAAATGGCCCCTTAGTCCATTTAAGTGGCACGTCCGTTCGTCCGGTTGTCCGTCTGTCTGCATTCAGCTTGTCCGCCCTTCACAGGTCAAACTACTGGTGGGATTTCAACCAAACTTTACAGGAGTGATCAGTACCATTCCTAGTTGTGCACAATACTGGCACGTTCTGCTTCCCTGCACAAAAAGGCCTCCATAGCTAAAAATAGAAAAATCTTGTCTGGCCTTCACAGGTCAAACTACTGGTGGGATTTCAACAAAACTTTACAGGAGTAATCAGTACCATCCCTAGTTGTGCACGATATGGGCACGTTCAGCTTCGCTGCACAAAATGGCCGTCAGAGCTATAAATAGAAAAATCTTGTCTGGCTTTCACTTCACATGAGTGACCATCCATAGTTTTGGGAGACATATTTTTTTGAGACAAAAACCTTTCTAGTATTATAAATGGTTTTGCCTGGCCATGCATATAATATGACATGACCTCATTTGTGTTATACTAATAGAGTGTATAGACATGCTAAATGTTAGTGTTACACTATATGCACATCAATTAAAAAGTTATTCCTTTTAGCTCACCTTTCACAAGTTACATGTTGAGCTTTTGTGATCGCTTTTTGCCAGGTGTCTGTCCACTTTTTACTTTAGATGACATCTCCTCATAACCCCTAAGCCAATTTCATCCAAACTTCACAGGAATGTTCCTTTGGTGGTCACCTTTAAACATTGTTCAAAGAATTTTGTTCCATGCTGAACTCTGGTTACCTAAAGAAAAACTTATGATATCTTCCTTTAAAAAAAACCCAAAGAGCTAGAGCTTAGATATTTGGCATGAAACATCTTCTAGTGAATGTCTACCAAGTTTGTTCAAATAAAGGCTCTGGGGTCAAAATTGATTTTCCTTATAATCATATAGTACAAAATTAGAGCGTAGATATGTACACATTTTTTGGAAATGTTGTTTTCCCTTAGAAGTTAGAAGTAGCAACCAGTAATGTTTTTACACATGCACAATTTCAGATACAAATATGAACTTTGTGATATCAGTTTTAGATTTAGATTTTATATCTGCTTTTGTTTATTGTTTACAATATTACTTGTTCCTTGTCATGGAGAGTTTTATATTCAGGTGAGCAATTTCAGGACCGTCATGGCCCTCTTGTTCTTATTTTGGATATGTTATAAATAGAAAATTGAATTTGTGATCCTTTATAAATAAATTTATTGAACTATAAATAAATTTATTGAGCTCCTCGGATAAAATAATATTATGCTTGCCAAACGTTTGCACAATATAATTTTATTCAACTCTTCAATAAATTCAATATTGAACCTCATAGTAATGATACAATATGCTCTTATTCATTAATTTTTTTTTCAGGCCAAATATTTTGACTCGGGTGATTACAATATGGCAAAAGCCAAAATGAACAATCCTAAACATCCACTGCAACCTAAGGAGAAACTGTTGCTGCAGGAGTCTATTGGAGGTGCCATTCCAACGCCACTAGAGGTGGAACATATGCGGAGACCCTCACAACAAGCGAGTAACCTCGTGATGGAGGACGAGGGCGGACATCCGATACATTTAGTCGAACATTAGAACATTGTGTAAATGAGTGTTACAAAACATACAGTTTAAACTACCCATCTATGGCTTCTTTCACAGTTAAGATAATATTGTAACAAAGCATTTAAACATGTTATATAGTATAGTTAAGTATTTAAGAAAAAAAAGACTTTGAAACAAATTTTATTTTAACTTGTTATGCTTAGAAACTTTGGAGGATGTTTTTGAAGGTGTATTTTAAGATATTTGCAATTTACAGAGATGTTTGATATACTATGTTGGGATAATATTAAAGATATTTCATTAACTGGTTAATCAGAGTCTTGGAGGAAGAACTGAAGAAGATTTGATGCTTGTCCACATGTTTTGTTTGTTAACGATTGAAGAATCTTTCCTTGTTACTGCCTGTTTTTTTCACGCAGTTTGGTCATCATTTTCATATTTTTATTTGATATTTTGAACATTTACTGGTACAATATTTCTATAACAACTGAAAATATTAAAATCAAAGGCTAAGTATATACTAGTTATAAAAGGAAAAGGATTAAAACTAACCAGAATGCATTAAATGGTGTTTATCAAAATACGTTACCATTCTAGCCATTCAGCCTTAATAATTGACATAAGAAAGTGGATTGAAATAAAAAAGTATATGAATTAAACTTTTCTCTGGCACTTACCAGAATGGACCACCTGTTAGAATTACATCAGATTTTGTACATGTATGCAATATGGTTCTTTTTCAACTGGTATAACACCTGTAAACAAATCTTGTTCAGTGACAAATGTTATCTTTTTATGTCGGTGGGCAATGGTCTCTTGATTAGTAAGATATTATTTAAGCATGCCTTGTTTTGCACTGTATTTACCCCTCCATAAGGTAAAATCCAATTAAAAGACTGAATGAATTCAGGGACAGGTGTTTAGTTATACATTATTTGTATATATTTGCGTGATTTGTTTTGAGAACTAAAATTTTATATTAGGTGTTATGTTGTTGTGTAAAATAGAACTTTTTCATAGAAAGAAAGAAAAGCTAATAGAAAGAATTTTTCAACTGGTCAACAGATTAAGTCACCATTCACTAAGTGCATGTCATAAATACTGAGAAAAAATGTTGGTTTTTTTTTTAACATGAGCACAATTTCTTTAAGCAAAGTTCTGATTTTTAAACTGTTACGTTCCAGTGTATTATGTATGAGTTTTAAAGTTAATGTCAGACTTTTGTTAGCTGGATGTATGAAGAGATATACATATACCATTGACCATTATATAGTAAAAAATCACTTGTAGTTAGTCAGTAACAATATTTATAGTTATATGGATTTTAATCGTGTAGTGGACAAAAATCATTTAAGAAAAACAACACCATGATTTCACTATAGTATATTGCATAAATCAAATACCGAATGTTACTTTGTCTATAACTGTTAATTTCTTCTTGCATATATTTGCTGTAGTGCCGTTTATTTTTGTGACATTTATGATGTGGTGTAGTGATATTGAGTATTGATAATGTTATGTCTGTCTTGGTAACCTGATGACAAATATTTTACTGGTCAGTCAAACTTTTAACTCCACTTTATGAAGAAAAAAGGGGGAGTACATGCAATTGTTGTGACCCACTCAGCGTCACCATTATATTGGTTAACTTTTTTTGATTATGTTTTCTTTTTTTGTTTATGATCATTAACTTCAATACATTTGTACTAGCAAAGCAATAACATTGAAACTTTACATAAAGTTTTCTCTTAATGAGTTCTATGTACTACATCCATGTACAGGTCAAAGGTTGAGGTCACTTGGATCTTTGCAAGGTCACTTGGACCTTTCATAGCAAAATACAAAACTGACAGTTGGTTGTAATTGCATTTACTGTGAAACTTGAAAATTTTGTAGATGTACCTTGATGAGCCGTACTGCCATGCTCATTTTGGGACAAAAGGTGAAGGTCACAATAACCTTTGTGACTTTTCTTTATTAATTTTATGTTTATGGTCAGTAACTTCATTTATGACTTTGAAACTTTTATATATGGATGCATCTTGAGGAGATCTATCTGCCACACCCATTTTGAGTTTAAAAGGTCAAATGTCAGCATGACCTTTAATTCTTATTATCCCTTGTATAGAAAATGTAGAGTTTACTATTCAGCACTGAGCAAGTGGGTAGTGATGTCCCTTGGACAACTCGTGTTATATCATGGTATATGTGAACCATATCTTTTTCCTGCTGGATTTGTGTAATGGAAATATCCTGGTTTAAACTTACTCTGTACTGATGGTAAAGGCAGTTTAATTTTTAACAGTAATCAAACGCTTAACCAACCATGACTGTATTTATGTACATGGTAAATATATTAGAATTCATGGATTATAGATTATTTTGTTTTTAGAGTGTTTCCCCTCCAAAATGGAAATCAGTCAAACATTTTCTCCTTCTTTTTCCATCTTTTTTACCATTTTTATTCTTTTACATATTTAGTTAAGTATTTCGGCAATAATTATTGAAAGAGATCAGTAAAGAAACTTAATTCAGTTTTGGTTTTGATATAAAACCCTAGAATATAAAAGTTAACGAAAAGAACCCTGTTACACAAATTCAGTAGTGTAAGAGTGAATTGAAAGCATTGAGGATAAAAAAAAATATTCTAGCTTATTTATATTTTTGTTTCTATAGAACAAACCAATTGATACACCTCAGTTATGTAATATTTGTGTCAACAAAACTATGTTATATAATTATGTGCAGTAAAGATACTGAAAGGATGTTCTTTATACAGATGTAAGCACTCTGGTGACTATGTACATGATTCTTTCAGTAATAAGATGAAATTTTGTGTCTCTGACCTAAGTTTATCTCTAAAGTGCTTGATTTCATTACAAATCTTTGATGCTATTCATTTTTCAGGTGAATGTGTAATTTCATTATTGTTGTCATTGATCATAAACTTGTTGTCACAAAATCATTGTGTTATGTTATAAATTCCTTTTATAAGCTCACTATTACCCCTGGTGGTCTCCTGGCATTTTTCTGAGATCTGTCTCAAATGTCAAGATTTTCACTGGTCAGTGTACATTTTGTGGCAGTTCTTGACCAATGAAATACCCAAGATACGAGTTTGAGCTTAGAGAATATCTTTATAACCACTAAACCTAGTTTGTGGCCTTAAGGCAGATTTGGATATATGGGAACAGGAACGATAGATAACTGTACATTCATTCTATAAGCTTTTATGTGGGTATTTTCCTTTATGTGGCTAAAAAGAACAATAGAGAGAAAAGTAGAGTAGCCATAGAATTACCATCTTGTTAGGACTCCTGTCCATCCAGGACCATCCATCCGACTCGTTTTATAAATTTAACTTGTAAAACTTCTAAGACTGTAAAATGGCTTGAGCTTAGATACTAGGCATGTCACTTCACCTATGGTCCTGTACAAAATTTATATAAATCATGCCCCTTGGGTCAAAATTGGCCCCACCCTGCAGGTCCCTTAGTTTATATAGACTTGTATAGGAAAATACATCAAAAGTAATATAAACCATACCCCTTGAGTAAACATAAGCCATTGCTCTGACCATCAATTTATATAGACTTGTATAGGAAAACACATACTCATGTCTTCTTGAATGATTCTACAATGTTTATAGCTTATTTCACATGTATTTTTGCCTATTTGACCTCTACGGAAGGTTTTCCAATTGGATCTTTATGGAGGTTTTTTGACAAATGATGCCCCATTAAAATTCCTCACTCAGAATAAACTCCGAGGAGCTTAAAAGTATTAAGCGCAATTACACAATGAACAACTTCAGTGAACAACTTCTCTACATGATATACACTGTGGTGTTGGGGAATGTAATTTATAATCAGGCACCTTGTCTGTCATCAAATAAAATGGTTACAATAAAGTGAACACAAAATTTCAAAGAATTTTTTTAATGTAGTTAAGTTTTGAAAATACACCTGTGTTTACAAAAATACCTTCTGCTGATAACAACTTTGCCTATAATGTTTGTCACAAGTATGAAATCAATTCTAAACTAGAAAAGAAAATAGAATTTTCCAAATAAAACAGTAACATATCTTGCCTTCATCAAACCACTCTAATTGGTATGAGAATGCCGTCTCAGAATGCCGTCTGCTAAAATGACAGTATTAATACAAAGGCTGGCACAAACTAAAGTGACTTTATTTTGGCTACAGCTACAAATGTTTATATTTAAGTCACTTTTATAAGCACTAGATGAATATATCCAAAATAAAGGTCAAATAAATTTAGCTGTAAACAGAATGTAATCTATGGAGGTTACATACCATAATCTCATTGTCTTTTCCCAGCTGAGTTCTAACAGAGAATGTCTCTGTTATTTAACACACATGAATATTTTGTGTCAAAAATAAATGTTCCAGAATAAAATATTATTCTGTTATTTTATATACATTGTAGTTTTATCCGTTTAGCAATAATTTCGGGAATGGGCAATTGGCTTTTTTTAGGCAATTGACAATCATATCTATTTCATACAAGCATTTTGTTAAGTTCAAACAATGAGATTTTTTTAGCAGATATATATGTTTCATCAGTAATATAGCTTTATACACTTTAAAGTTACAAGAACCAGATGTCATATCAGCAAAAAAGTCTTCAGCTTAAGTGCTCCAGTCCTGTAATTATAGGTTTACTCCCTTTAATGACTGCCTTGCTATTTTATCTGTTATATTCATGAAGACAAAGAAATTAAACAGCAGAAATTATATTTCATAAACAAGAATAAAATAAGATTTATAAACAAATGTGAATATATGTATATAAATAACTGTATATACCAACCAGTGCTAAGTCTGGTCATTTTTTTATTAAAAAAATATGCAACAAATTTACACAAAGCTTTAGGATCAATATATACACAACAAACAATTTCAATTTTGTCATAATGTCTTGCAATTTCCTGCAAATGTATAGTGTTATTCACTAAAAGTGGGCAGATTTTTTTTTTATCTTGGCACTGTATATCTAGGCAGAGTAACAGTACCAAAAGACAAAGGATTCTGCCCAGATTTACAGGGCCTGGTACTCCTTTTGGGTAACAAACAAAATACTGTTTTTTTCTGAATGCCAAAAAACAAGAAAAAAATTTTTCACATG